CCCCCCCGCCACCACCATATTTTACCGGCACGATTTCCTCCTTTGGCACCGGTGACGGGAGCGGGGGCGGAGATGGGGGGAGCCCCCGGGGAGGAGGAGGAGGGAGGGAGCGGGGGAGACACGAATGTGTGACTGCAGCATCCTTACTCTCACAGCCCGCATCCCTCGCGCCTCCTCACCGTTGCCTTGGCAACCTCCTATCGATGGGGTATTTATAGAGGAGACGAACGTGTACGGAGGTGGCGGGGGGGGGACCGGGACTGGGTGGGCGTCTGCTCGGTCAAGCCTCCAGCTCCAGGCTTCTCTTGGCATCCATGGCTCTGCGGGGGCAGGAGGGAGGGATGCTGCTCGCCTCCTCGGCGTCAGAACCTGCCGTGGTCCAGCTTTTCCTGCTCGTGGGAGCCCGGGCAGGGGGGGAAAGAGGTTGGGGAATTTGCAGGTGGAAATAAAAATACGTGTCTGGGATGCCTGCCCTTCTCGCAGGTGTCGCTCCTGCTCCTGGGCTTGGGTTAGACCTTGGCTTGTTGTTGTTGCACTGGAATAAAGCGTCTCCGAGCTCTGACACTGGGTGTTTTGCTATTTGGGGAAAAAAAAAAAAAAAAAAAGTGAAAAGATAAAATCTTCCTGACGCATTGAATGTGTTGCCTGATGTATGACGTGGGTTACGGAGCTGGGGGTCCTGACAAATCTGGTCTTGAATATCGTTGTTTCTGTATCCCTGCCCTCCTGTCTATTAAAGGAGGAGAATGCCTGTGACGAGCAATACAGAGGTGGTGTGTGGAAGCTGTGTCAAGTTTTCCATGCCGTGTGCTCTTTTATCCTGTGGGTTTGGGTCTCTTTGTGAAGACTGATGATAACAAAAGCAGGTCAGGTAGTCCTTGCTCAGAGCTGAGGTAGCCTGTGGGGCAACGCGTGGGTCTGGAGGCCTCTCAGATGGTCTCGCATCCCCCAGAGCAGCTCAGAATAGAGGAGTTGGGCACACAATTTCTCGAGAAAAGTCCTCCCAGTGTGGGCCGTGGGGCACAGAAGGCGGCAGACCCCTCCTGTGTTATTCTAGTGCTCTGCTGCTTTCCCTCAGTCGTGCCTGAACTCCAGGCTGAGGTTTGCAAACTGTTGGAAAGAAGCTGCTTTCTGCCTCTGGAGACAGCTCCGGGCTTCTTTGGCCTCTTGCCGCTTCTGGGGCAGGAACCTCAGAAACCACAGGAAACCTGCTGTTGGCCCAGGAGAGGTGGTAGATTTACTGAGAAGGTGGCTCTGGGTGAGGTGAGGTGGTGCCCGCTGTGGTGGTGTGTACCAGCCCTTCTGTGCCTCTGGATTCCTGCCTTTGACATGAAATGAGAAATGAGTTTCTAGCCCCCGCTGTCCCTGTTCATGGTGGCCCTGTGCTGTCCCTGAGCCCGCTCTAGCTGAGCGGATTCAAGTGCTTTTGGGATAACTTTGAATATCTGAAGTCCTGGATCAGTTCCTGCTGCTTCTGAGCGGGTTTGCTCCTTCATCTGCAATAAATCCCTGTAGGTTAGTCCTGTCCCCTCTGTTTCCTGATGTCACACAAGGTGAGAGGAGATGAGTTTGCCCAGGGTAGTCTGGTCGGTGGGCATCGAGCACAGGGAGAAGACAAAGCATGAAAAACAAGTGAGTGAAACCCCTCCTGCGAGCAGAGAGGGATATACTCTGCTTCTGCAGGACTTTGCTTTACTCTTGTGGGGTTTTGTTTACTTCAGTTTTGTTTTTGAAGCACAAAAGGTGCTTTTCCAGCTGGATAGCTGTTGTCCTGGCTGTGCAGGGAGCTCTGGCACTCTTGCTGCTGCCCTTAGCTTGGCCCAGCAACCTTTAGGAGATGCATATGATGCTTTTCTTTCTGGCTTTATGGCAGTGAAGAAAACAGTATGGCCCTGTGTATTGCAGATTGTGGGTAGGAGTTGCAGAAGTGAGAACGGGCACGGCTGTGAAATGTATTTAAAACGGGATGACAGTTTTACCTGTATCCATCAATCTCTTCTGGAAGGGAAGAGGACCTGGCTGCTCCCAGCAGCTTCTGATGTGCAGGTCTTCTCCTCTGCTGATGAGATTCAGGGACTCTCCCTCATCCAGTTCTTCCCTTCCTGCTTCCCTTGTCTGCAACCACCCTCTGGGCTTCTTGGGCAGGGTCCTGGCTCCCCTTGGGCTGGTGCAGCACAAGGGTGGCAGAAACCTGCCCCAGACTTTCACAGAGCTGAGGGTGCCCCAAGTCCCTCCAGCCAGAGTCCTTGGCTCTCTGAAGAGGCACTGCTTGGCTGGGGACTGTCCCTTCTTTCTGCCTGAATCTGACCCTGGGAAATGGAGGTCTTGGGCTTCAAGGGGGTGAAATTTAAGCTGTCGGTGACTCTCCTGTTTTCTTCCCTGCAGGTAGGCAGGAGCACCCCCGTAGCCGAGTGAGGCAGCATGGCAAGTAAGTGTTCCACAGTCCAGACGGAGAGGTGGTGGAGGTGGTGCTGCAGAAAGAGCCTTGAAACCCACAGGGTGGAAGAGGGCTTGGGCACCATCAGCATGGCAGGACCTGCAGGGTCAGTGGCTGAGCTGCTGCTGAAGCCTTGCTATTGTTCAAAGGACCCACAACCATTTATTTTTGTTAAGACAATTATTCTATCACACTATGACACCTCCCACACAAGAAAGAGAATTGGGGAAAAAAAAAAAAAAAAAAAGTGAAAAGATAAAATCTTCCTGACGCATTGAATGTGTTGCCTGATGTATGACGTGGGTTACGGAGCTGGGGGTCCTGACAAATCTGGTCTTGAATATCGTTGTTTCTGTATCCCTGCCCTCCTGTCTATTAAAGGAGGAGAATGCCTGTGACGAGCAATACAGAGGTGGTGTGTGGAAGCTGTGTCAAGTTTTTCATGCCATGTGCTCTTTTATCCTGTGGGTTTGGGTCTCTTTGTGAAGACTGATGATAACAAAAGCAGGTCAGGTAGTCCTTGCTCAGAGCTGAGGCAGCCTGTGGGGCAACATGTGGGTCCGGAGGCCTCTCAGATGCTCTCACATCCCCCAGAGCAGCTCAGAAAAGAGGAGTTGGGCGCACAGTTTCTTGAGAAAAGTCCTCCCGGTGTGGGCTGTGGGGCGCAGAAGGTGACAGACCCCTCCTGTGTAATTCCGGTGCTCTGCTGCTTTCCCTCAGTCCTGCCTGAACTCCAGGCTGAGGTTTGCAAACTGTTGGAAAGAAGCTGCTTTCTGCCTCTGGAGACAGCTCCGGGCTTCTTTGGCCTCTTGCCGCTTCTGGGGCAGGAACCTCAGAAACCACAGAAAACCTGCTGTTGGCCAGGAGAGGTGGTAGATTTACTGAGAGGGTGGCTCTAGGTGAGGTGGTGCCCGCTGTGGTGGTGTGTACCAGCCCTTCTGTGCCTCTGGATTCCTGCCTTTGACATGAAATGAGAAATGAGTTTCTAGCCCCCGCTGTCCCTGTTCATGGTGGCCCTGTGCTGTCCCTGACCCTGCTCCAGCTGAGCAGATTCAAGTGCTTTTGGGATAACTTTGAATATCTGAAGTCCTGGATCAGTTCCTGCTGCTTCTGAGCGGGTTTGCTCCTTCATCTGCAATAAATCCCTGTAGGTTAGTCCTGTCCCCTCTGTTTCCTGATGTCACACAAGGTGAGAGGAGATGAGTTTGCCCAGGGTAGTCTGGTCGGTGGGCATCGAGCACAGGGAGAAGACAAAGCATGAAAAACAAACAAGTGAGTGAAACCCCTCCTGTGAGCAGAGAGGGATATACTCTGCTTCTGCAGGACTTTGCTTTACTCTTGTGGGGTTTTGTTTACTTCAGTTTTGTTTTTGAAGCACAAAAGGTGCTTTTCCAGCTGGATAGCTGTTGTCCTGGCTGTGCAGGGAGCTCTGGCACTCTTGCTGCTGCCCTTAGCTTGGCCCAGCAACCTTTAGGAGATGCATATGATGCTTTTCTTTCTGGCTTTATGGCAGTGAAGAAAACAGTATGGCCCTGTGTATTGCAGATTGTGGGTAGGAGTTGCAGAAGTGAGAACGGGCACGGCTGTGAAATGTATTTAAAACGGGATGACAGTTTTACCTGTATCCATCAATCTCTTCTGGAAGGGAAGAGGACCTGGCTGCTCCCAGCAGCTTCTGATGTGCAGGTCTTCTCCTCTGCTGATGAGATTCAGGGACTCTCCCTCATCCAGTTCTTCCCTTCCTGCTTCCCTTGTCTGCAACCACCCTCTGGGCTTCTTGGGCAGGGTCCTGGCTCCCCTTGGGCTGGTGCAGCACAAGGGTGGCAGAAACCTGCCCCAGACTTTCACAGAGCTGAGGGTGCCCCAAGTCCCTCCAGCCAGAGTCCTTGGCTCTCTGAAGAGGCACTGCTTGGCTGGGGACTGTCCCTTCTTTCTGCCTGAATCTGACCCTGGGAAATGGAGGTCTTGGGCTTCAAGGGGGTGAAATTTAAGCTGTCGGTGACTCTCCTGTTTTCTTCCCTGCAGGTAGGCAGGAGCACCCCCGTAGCCGAGTGAGGCAGCATGGCAAGTAAGTGTTCCACAGTCCAGACGGAGAGGTGGTGGAGGTGGTGCTGCAGAAAGGGGATGTTTGGCAGCCACCTCTCAAGGAAGGGGTGCCTGTGCTTTTTGGGGGGGTGTTATTCTCTGTGGGGAGCAGATGCCTTTGGCCATTATCCCTGGATGAGCTCTGAGGTCTGGCCTGACTTGTGCTTCTCTCTCCCCTGTGCGAGGTGGGAGTGGAGAGGAGATGCTGAAGGGCTGGCCTCTCCGGGACTCCCCGGACGCTGCAGCATATTCTCTATTTCCCTGATGCTTGCTGTGCAAGGTGGGCTTCCCTGAGGGCTAATGGCCCCTCGGCAGGGTTGCTGGTCTGCGCTGACTTCTCCTAGCAACAGTGCTCCTCATGGCCCACGACGGGCATCCCACGAGCTGCCCATCCCGGGGGCCAGAGTGCCTTGTGTGGCCGGTGGCACCGGGGCTCTGCATTCCCAGCGGATGGGCAGCTGCCTGAGTTGGTCCTGCTGGGATCTGGCTGCGTCCTGGCATGGAGAGCCGGGCTGAGACTGGCAAGGGTGCAGGGTGGAGGATGGCGTGTGGTCTGTAAAGAGCTGGACTCAACCCCCCTCCTCCTCGCTCTTCCGGGCAGCCTGCGCGGAGGCTGCGTGCGGCCGTGCGGTGGGAGCTCAAGGAGAGATGTAGAGATCTGGCTGGGATCTCGGGATGTGCTTGGGCTGTCACCAGAGCCAGCTATGAAGGTGGAGGCAGCAGCCACGCTGGGCAGGAGGAAGACCCCCCCCGAGGTGACAGGTATGCCTTCTTTCCTTCTCTGTGCTGTGCTAGCTGGGGGAGGGAGCAGAGATCTTCAGGCAGTGTTTTTAAAAGGCAGTTTGAATCTTCTTTTAATGAGGAGGGTCCCTACCTTCCTCCACTGCTGCCTTTTCTCCCTCACCAGCGCTTACTGGTTGTGGGAGGTGTCCCTGTGGTGGCAGTGTCCCCTGCCAAGCAGTCCCCTTCGTGGTGACCCTGACGTGCAGGAGGGGGATGTGGTGGTCAGCATGTTTGCCATCACATGCTCTCCTGCAGCGTGCGGCCCTGGCTGTCCTTCCACAGCCACAGCCACATGTTGTTCTGCAGAGAATGTCATTCTGCGGGTGGCAGAGTGGTGGGGTCATGGTGTGACCAAGCCTGCCTGCCACCAGGGGCCACCAGCATCTCAGGAAACCCAGCAGGGACACGGTGAACCCAGCCCTGCTCCCGCTCCCCCTGCCTAAAGCTCTGATCCTTCCTGAGCACCGGTTCTCCAGCTGGTGTGGGGAGACTTGGAGAGGCAAAAAGGGTCAGTACCGAGGCTGCTGGGCTTGGGAAATCCTCTCTGCCCTACATTTTGGGGACAGTACCTGCTCAGCTGTCTGCTCTTCTTGCCAGTTGGGCATCCAGGCTGGGTGAGAGTCGGCAAGGCTCTTGTTTCCTGAAGGCCATTGGTTTCCCTCCTCTGGTCCTCAGGCACGTGGGAGCTCCTCACGCTTTCTGTGTGAAAGAGGGGAGGGAACAGTGACTTAGTTGTTGCTCTTCTGCCATTTCTAAGTCCTGGAGGGAAATTGGATGTGGGGGGAGGCATGTACCCCCATCTCAGCATGCTTTCAGCTGGGACATTGCTTGTGATACCTGCCTGCCCGTGTGTCTGTTTTTATTTCCCACCGTAGTGGCCAGCTCAGCACAGCAAAGCAGGGAAGGGCTCAAGTGACTGGTGTCTGCAGGGATGGAAAACCCTCACGGTGAGATCTGTGGCCAAGCTTGTTGCTCCAAGGCACGAGGAGGAAGCTGGAAGGAGGCTGAGATGCAAGTGCTGAGGAAGGGGAGAGTTGATACCCCAGCCTGATCAAGGCGGGAGGCAAAGGAGGTGAGGCCAGACTTCTCCACCGAAGGATGGGACATTTGCAGAATGGATGGTGCCTTTGTAAAATTTCATCTCATTCTGGAAAGGCTCAAGAGAAGGTCAGCCTTCTCAGGTCCCTGCCAACCTGCTCCTTCTCCAGCCAGGACAGCTCTCCTCAACTGCAAAAGCCAAGGCAAACTGATCCCTGCCCTCCTGCGAGATGCCTTCTGTGCCTCTTGAAAACACTTTTTCAGTTGTCCTTGTAAAAAAGATTAAAAAAAAAAAAAAAGCTTTGCATAATAAAGTCGATTCTGAGGGAAGGTCTCTGACTCACATCATTCATGCTGCTCTTCATTCACACCTCAGTGGTTCAGCCCTCTGCGAGCTCTCTCACTGAAGCAAGCCATTAATAAATCACGGGGGGAAAATGCACCTACACAGCACAAAAAGAGCACGGTGCCTCCAAGCATGGGATGGTGCCACACAGTAGTAGTTGCTTCTGCCATGATCTTGTCCCTGCCTTGACATTTACAGATACTCTCACTGTATTGTTTTAGAAGGATATATGGAAGGTGAAGCAGAAGGAAACCTGTTGGTCTCTGCTAAAAGGCTGCTAATCATAGAATCATGGAATGGTTTGGAAAGGATCTTAAAGATCTTCCAGTTCCAACCCCCCTGCCCTGGGCAGGGACACTCCCCACCAGACCAGGTTGCTCAAAGCCCCATCCAGCCTGGCCTTGAACAACCTCCACGGATGGGGCAGCCACAGATTCTCCAGGCAACTTGTTCCAGTGTCTCACCACCCTCACAGCAAAGAATTTCTTCCTAATATCTAATCTAAATTTCTTCTCTTTTACTTTAAAACTTACCCCTTGATCCAATCACTCCATTCCCTCATAAAGAGTTCCTTCCCATCTCTCCTGTAGCCCTGTTTGGGAGCTGAACAGAGTCCCTGAAGCCACCTGAGCTTGCATGGCCCCAGAGCAGCTGGCAGTGGGGACACCAGCTTCCAGCAGGCTGTCTGTCCCCCTCCTTGGGGGGTTGTGGAGGTGTGAAGCAAGAGAGGAGGTTGTGGGGTGATGCACAACTTACTTGTGTGTTGTGAATCCATCTCGGTGCTGGCCCCGTGTCTCAGTGGAGAGGCCTGGCTTGGTGTCCCAGCTTTCTTCACAGAATCACATGGGGTTGGAAGGGACCTCTGGAGATCATCTAGTCCCACCCCCCTGCCAAAGCAGGTCCACCCAGAGCAGGTTGCACAGGAACTTGTCCAGGTGGGTTTTGAATGTCTCCAGAGAAGGAAACTCCACCACCTCCCTGGGCAGCCTGTTCCAGGGCTCTGGCACACTTAAAGAAGTTTCTCCTCGTGTTTAGGTGGAACTTCTTATATTCAAGTTTGTGCCCAAACTTGAATATAAGAAGAAACCTTTCCTTGCCCTGCAGTGAAGGGGCAGCAAGGTGAAATCCCATCAAGGGCAAGAGGTTGAAAACAAGTGTTTTTGGAGCCTTCTGTATCTTCAGCTGTCTGATATGGTCTGCAGCTGCTGATTCCAATTTCTCTAACATCTCAGCCCTGCTGGAAGGATGCTCCTGGTGCTTTATGTCCCCGGGCAGACCCCAAGAGCCCTGTGCCCCTCTGGGTGTGCTCTCCCTCAATGGGCACTCTGCTGTGCTAAATGAATTATAGCCCTGAGCTTTTGGTGGTTGGGATGCCTGTATCACCAAAAGCCTGTGGGAAGGAGGCCAAGCGTGGGGTTGTCTCTGCTCAACGTGTCTCTGCCTTGTGTTGTTGCAGTGTTCTTGGGGGCCAGGAATGCCCACTCCATCCTGAAGCGCTTCCCCCGAGCCAACGGCTTCCTGGAGGAGATCCGGCAGGGCACCATCGAGCGGGAGTGCATGGAGGAGGTCTGCAGCTATGAGGAGGTCAAGGAAGTCTTCGAGAACAAGGAGCAGACGGTGCGTTGGTCCTGCCCTGCTCCCCAGTGGATGCGTGAGGGCTTACACCTCAGCAAGCTGGGGGTGGAGAAGGAAAGAACAGCCTCTCCTGTTCCCCTTGTCCTCTTCTGCATGCTGTGGCCTTGCTTGCCAGCGTGGCTTTCCCTTCCCGGGCAATGCCCTCACCTCGGCGTTGCCAGGACACCTTGCCCACAGCTGCAGGTTGAGCTGGCACCCCTGTGGCACATGTGGGAAATTTGTGGTGTTGTCCTTGACCCTCCAGGCTGGGGATGGTGTTAGCCAAGTTTCTCTCTACTTGGTAACGGGGGCTGTTGACTGCTGTTGAGGGATATTTGATATTTTTGTGTTGGTTCCCACAGTGCCTCCGATGCTGGCAGCCCTGGTGAGAGTGGTGGGGGGATGGCTGAAAAACTGGCCCTTTTGTGGGCCGAGGGAGGGCAGTGATTATTGGTGGTGGTGGTCAGGGGGTCCCACTTCCAGCACATGATGGTTGCTTCTCTGTTCCTACCACAGATGGAGTTTTGGAAGGGCTACACCAACTCTGTCTACTCTGTCAAGGACCCCGGGCACAACACGGAGCGCTCAGACGCTATGTACGTGGTGGTGCCCCTCTTGGGGGTGGCTCTTCTGATAGTCATCGCCCTCTTCATCATCTGGAGGTGCCAGCTTCAAAAGGCCACCCGCCACCGCCCTTCCTATGCCCAGAACCGATACCTGGCCAGCAGAACGGGACGCAGCCTCCCCAGGGTCATGGTGTACCGGGAGCGGTCGCAAAGCCAAGGAGAAACCCAGTATCAGCGAGAAGCCAGCAACCGGGTGGCTGGAGATGGCAGAGCTGGGGGCACCCCCCAGCAAGATGGCACCCTCTGCCCTCCGGAGCATTCCGTCTCCGTCCTCTCCAGACTGTCCAGTGCCACCCCTCCACCTTCCTACGAGGAGGTGACGGGCCACCCGGAGAGCAGCAGCAGTGGGGAGGAGACCAGCGTCTCCTACAACGACCCACCACCCAAATACGAAGAGATCGTGGCCGCTGCCCCTGCAAAATAAGGGGTCTGCCTCCCTCCTGCCTCTTCACACACTCACACTCACCCACTCACCCACCCTCCGCCGTGCCCGGGACCCCCTTTCCAGGTGCCACCCCATCTCACCTGTACAAGCTGGTGCCATCACACGATAGCCTTACCCTCCTAACCAAAAAAAAAATCGCCGTCTGTCCTCCACCCCAGTGGGGGGTGAGGCTGGGGCTTGTGGGGGTGGCTTCTGGAGCCAGGCAGCCTTCTCCTGCCCCAACTTGCTCCCCAGCTCCTGTAAGTGCTGTAGCAGCCGGAGCAGAGTGGGCAGCTCCTTCCTGGCTCGATGCGGGGGTCTCCCCACGGTGCATTTGATTTTCTCACCTCCCCCATCACATTTCCCATGGTTGAAACCAGCCTCGCTGCCTCCCTGGGGTGCTGCTCAGCCTTACCCCCCCTCTCCTCGCTGGGCCCCCTTTTTTGCTGCTCGGGACCCCACTTAGGAGCTGGGGATGTAAGAAGGGGTGTGGTGAGTTTCTGTCCCTCTCCACAGTGGGTGTCCGTGCTCTGTTTGGGGAGAAACTGCCCCCCTTGTGTGGGTCTGCTGCCCCAGTGGTGGGAGTGGGGAGCCCGCTCCGGCCTGCGGTGCCTGTAGCAATATTCGCTGTCTGGAGATCAGGGAGGACCAGTCAGGGAGGTGTTCTCTGATCTCCTAGATCCCTTTGGAAAGGGGGAAAGGCTCGTGTGTACATGAGGTAAGTGACTTTGGAGCAGCAGGTCCTTTTCCTGATAACTCTCTGCTTCCCCACTATGGGGTGCCGGGCAGTTGGAGGGCTGGCTGTGGTGGAGCTGGTCGATGGGGTCATCTCTGACCTCGAGGTGGTGGTCCCATGGCTTTAAGCAGTGGGGATGCTCCTCTTTCCTGGAGCGTGGCCTGGCTGGTGTCTGCCCCAGAGGTGGGCTGCAGATGGGCCAAATGTCCCCTGTGCTGACCCCAAGCCTTTTTGTCCTGCCTGGCCTCTCTCTTTGGGGCTGTTTGTCCTCCAGAGCAGGTAAAGGGGAATGGGAGACCCCACTCTCCTGCAGAGTGCGTGGTGGCCATGGCCATGGCGTGGAGGGCCTGCTGACAGAGGTGAGAGCTGACTGACCATGCCATGATGTGGTGATGCTGGTGGGTCAGAAGCAGGACCAAACCCTGTTGCACCTGACCACCGGGTGGTTGTGGTGCCAGGGCACGGCAGAACAAGGTGCTTTGCTGTGGGACCAGAGCGTCCCCTTTTCCTGGGTAGCTGCTTTTGGGGTCCAAGCAATGGGGCTGTCCTTTCCCACTCATGTCTGATGGGTTACAAAGGGGGGTTTGTGCTCACCAACCCCCCCCAGGAGTAGCCCAGAAACTCCCAGCACTGCCACCCTTTGGTGTTCACCCCAGCACCAGTCTCTCCACCAGCACTGAAAGGCTATTGTACGTCCATGGGCTGCCTGAACCCTGCTCTGCCCCAGCGATGCTCTCGCAGAAGGTGTCCTCAGCCCACAGCTGAGGCTCGTCCCCGTTCCTGGGGCAGGACATGTGGGGTTGGCAGCTGCTGGCACCTTGTCTGTCCCCTCCCAGGCCTTTATTCTGCCTTTCAGCCTTAGCAAATCGGGGTTAGGGGAAGGACCTGACAGCGAGCATCGGGGTCAGAGCCTGGAATAAAACGGAGGGAGACAGAAGGGCTCTGTGTGTCCTCTGTCTTTGATGCTCGGTCATTATCCCTGCAGTTTGTATTCTGTAAAACTTGGTATATTTCTGTGCAAAAAAAAAAAACCAACAAAAAAAAGGTATTTATTAAAAAACCCTCACTGTCTGTGTGGCACGGGGTGGATTTTTCCCATGGTGGGGCATGTCTCGCTGGGCACAACTCATGGTGGGGGCTGGGGGTCAGCTCTGAGGGGTGATGGGGGCAGCTGTGGGAGGATGGCACCGATACCCACCCTGGGCACGGCTGCAGCACGGTCCCCGGGGAGGAGGGGACCATCTCTGGAGGTTGGGAATGACCCCCACACATCCCACAGGAGACTTTTGCCTTCCCTGGGTTGCGGGGTGCAACGCTGGGTGGGAGCTGGAGGGTGTCTCCTGTGGGCCCTGAGCAGGGGGTGGGTGAAGGGCGGAGGGATTTCCTAAGGTCTTTGAGGGGATTTAGGTGCACAAGTTGTCTTGCTGTCCCTCCGCGCGCTCCTAAACCTCTTAGATAATCCCCTTTAAATAGCAGGACTAGGGCAGCGTGGGATTTATTTGAGCTGAGGCTCTTCCGCATTCCTGGGGCAGGACATGTGGGGTTGGCAGCTGCTGGCACCTTGTCTGTCCCCTCCCAGGCCTTTATTCTGCCTTTCAGCCTTAGCAAATCGGGGTTAGGGGAAGGACCTGACAGCCGTGGCACGGGGTGGATTTTTCCCATGGGGGGACATGTCTCGCTGGGCACAACTCATGGGGGGGGCTGGGGGTCAGCTCTGAGGGGTGATGGAGTGTGGCACGGGGTGGATTTTTCCCATGGTGGGGCATGTCTCGCTGGGCACAACTCATGGTGGGGGCTGGGGGTCAGCTCTGAGGGGTGATGGAGGCAGCTGTGGAAGGATGGCAGTGATACCCACCCTGGGCACGGCTGCAGCGCGGTCCCCGGGGAGGAGGGGACCATCTCTGGAGGTTGGGGACGAACCCCACACATCCCACAGGAGATTTTTGCCTTCCCTGGGTTGCGGGGTGCAACGCTGGGTGGGAGCTGGAGGGTGTCTCCTGTGGGCCCTGAGCAGGGGGTGGGTGAAGGGCGGAGGGATTTCCTAAGGTCTTTGAGGGGATTTAGGTGCACAAGTTGTCTTGCTGTCCCTCCGCGCGCTCCTAAACCTCTTAGATAATCCCCTTTAAATAGCAGGACTAGGGCAGCGTGGGATTTATTTTAAGCCCTTTCAAAAAAATACGAGATTTTACGCTCAGGTCTTGGAACTCTGGCCCCATTCAGAAGCGTTTGAAAGTGGCGTTCATCCCAAAGGGATCATTTTTTTAGCGCTGCTCCCCCCTCGGAGAGCCGGGGGGGATTAACTCCGGCGCTTGGATGGTCGCCCCCTCCGTTCCTATCCCGGGATGGGGGGGGGCTCCCACGGTGACACGGGGGGACACGGGGATGTACCAAGAGGAGCCAGGCTGAGCCCCCACCTCGAAGCGTGGGTTGGTTCGCCCGCAAACACCCCCCCCCCCCCCCCCCCCCCCGCCGGGGGGGTGGAGGGGGTGTCCCCTTCCCCCACCGGGAGGTGCCGCGCTGATTAGCTCGTTAATTAGCCCGGCTGTGGCTTTAAGGGTGGCGGGCGGGTTGCGGGGAGGGCGGGTTGTCCTGGTTCCCCCCCCCTCCCCGTCCCGCCCCCGTTGGCAGCGGGAGCGGCTGTTTACAGGTCCGACAGTAGCCTTGGACTGCAAAAAAAATAAGTAAGTCCCCCCCCCTTCCTTCCCCCCCTCCCTTTTCCAAC